TGAGTTTTTTTTAATAAAAGCTAATCTAATTTGACAAGAATTATTAAAATATAAAAATACTTATTAATTCGTATAAAAGAGTTTTAAAAATATTTTCTATAAAACTCTAACACGTATTACCTATTTATATATTTATTATAAGTTTTTTTAATAAAAAAATATAATTAAACAATAATATTTAAAGAAAATAAAAATTTTCTATAAAATCTTTCACAAATTAGCTAACTCTAAAATCTACTTAATAAAATTCAAATTAACCTATTTATCTATTTGTTCTTTTGAATTTTTTAACTAAAAAAAATCTAATTAAAAAAGAATTATTTATATAAAATATCTTTATTAATTGATATATATAATATAAATTGATTTTTCTAAAACTCTACCACAAATAGCTTTTATTACAAATTTCTTAATAAAATGAAATTAAATTAGACAATGATATATTTAAAGAAAGTAAAATAAGTTTTATAAAACTCTATCACAAATTACTTATTTTTTTTAAAAAACTCTACCCCAAATTAGCTTTTATTATAAGTTTTTCATGAAAGGAAATCTAATTAGATAAATATTATGAATATAGAAAATTATTTATTAATTAATATAAAAAGAGGTTTTCAAAGGGTTTTTTTTAAACTATAGCACAAATTACCTATTTATTATGAGTTTTTTAATTAAAAGAAATCTAATTAGGCTAGAATTATTAATATAAAAAATATTTATTAATTGATATAAAATGAGTTTTTAAAATTGTTTATATTAAACTCTAACACAAATTACCTATTTATTTAATTATTAAAAAATATTTATTAATCAATATAAAGAGCGAAATTCAGAAAGGCATAGACCCAAAATTACAGAAACTCCGCCAAAGAGTTTCAGTATTTATTTATTTATATATATAATACAGGATATAGAAACTCTGCCAAAGAGTTTCTATATTTATTTATTTATATAAAAAATATTTATTAAATGTGTAAAGAGTTTCAGTATTTCAGTATTTATTTATTTATAAAAAAAAATTATTATTAATTGATATGAAAAGAGTTTTTATAAAAAATAAAAAATAAATAAAAATAAAAATAAACTCTGTAAAACTCTAAAATCTACCTAATAAAATTCAAATTAACATATTTATCTATTTATTATTATGATTTTTTTAATAAAATAAAATCTAAAGTTTCCATATTTATTTATTTATATTAAAAATATTTATTAAATGTGCAAAGAGTTTCAGTTTTTCAATATTGATTTATTTGTATAAAAAAATATTTATTAATTGATATGAAAAGAGTTTTCATAAATAAAAAAATAAAAATAAATAAATAAATAAATAAATAACTCTACAAAACTCTAAAATCTACCTAATAAAATTCAAATTAACCTATTTATCTATTTATTATTATGAGTTTCTTAGTTAAATTAAATCTAATTAGAGAATGATATATTTAAAGAAAATAAAAGAGTTTCTATAAAACTCTAACACAAATTACCTATTTATTTTCTATTATTATGAGTTTTTTAATAAAAGAAAATCTAATTGGACTAGAAAAACTCTACTACAATTTTTCTATTTTATTTTCAATAAAATTATAATACATTAGATAAAGATATATTTTGAGATTTTCTATAAAAACTCTAACACAAATTACCTATTTATCTATTTATTTTGACTTTTTTAATAAAATGAAATCTAATTAGACAAGTATTGTTAATATAAAAAATTATTTATTAATTGATATAAAAAGAGGTTTTAAAAGAGTTTCTATAAAACTCTAACACAAATTACCTATTTATTTATTTATTGAAATCTAATTAGACAAGAATTATTAATATAAAAAAATATTTATTAATTGATATAAAAAGAGTTTTTATAAGAGTTTCTATAAAATTCTAATGCATATTACCTATTTATCTATTTATTATGAGTTTTTTTAATAAAAGAAAATATAATTAAATAAGAATATATTTAAAGAAAATAAAATAATTTTTATAAAATCTACTACAAATTGGCTGTTTTATTTTCTTTAAAACTCTATCACATTATCTACAAAACATTCAACACGTGCAACGCACGTGCCTTTTCCTAGTAATAATAATTATACCATATGGAATAGCATTTAAATTCATAGGATGTTGTCACTTCTGAGAGACTGATACCTCTAGGTTATTGACCCTGTTGATATAGGATGTACTTCAATTGATCAATAATTTAATATAGGGACAAGTGTAAAAAATACTCTTAAAGTATATTTCACATAAAAATTTTACTCCTTATTTGAAAAAGTGTGCAAAAAATACCCTTAATCTTTTCACATTGTATAAAAATACCCCTTAATTAGAAATTTGACATAAATTAGTACTATAATACATGTTTTGCCCTTTACTCTTCCAAAAATGCCCAATGGACTATATAGGCTACTAATCTCAAAGTATAAGGGTATTATGTGCACATTACCTTCTTCTTCTTCTTTTTCATTTTTTTTCTTTTTTTTTTTTTACATTTTTTCTTTCTTTTTTTGAAACTTTTTTCTCTATATATTTCTCTAAACTTTTTTTTAAAAAAACTTTTAAAATTTGTAGAATAAGGATTTGAATTTTTTTTTCTGTACCAACATTGTTAAAAAAAAATTAAAAAAAAATAAAATCAGTGAGTACTAGTTTTCAGAGTTTGGAGCAGATTTGTTTTTTTTTAATTTGCACTTTATTTTCGTTTTTTATTTTCTATTTTTATCTTTACTTTTCTTTTATACTTTTCTTTTTATTTTTATTTTCGATTTTTATCTTAACTTGTCCATTGCCATTGTCCTCCGATAGTGTCTTTTTCAGTCATTTTACAAAATTATTTATTTTTATATATTTTATAAAATTTTTCAGTAAGGGTAATTTAGTCAACTTAGGATTTAAATTTGTTAGAGGAACATATTTACACCAAATTAAAACTTTAGGGGTGTTTTTTGAATGCGAGGGCATCCTCCAATAGAATCATTTTTTGTCATTTTACAAAATTATTTATTTTATATATATATTTTAAAATCGTTCCGTGAGGGTAATTTAGTCAATTTAGGGTTTAAATTTGTCAATTGAAATTTTTTGAGTATTTTTTGCACATGAGTAATGTGATATGCAGTGTAAACATATTTTAGTAGTGTTTTCTGCACTTCACCCTTTAATATACCAAAGAAACTCCAATGCATATATATATATGACTAAATTAAATATGAAAATTGAAACATCCTGATTTAATAAATTAAGTTTAATCCACATGGTCCATGTAATAAGATCAGATTAGGTGAACTAATTAAAAAAATGAAAATAAAAAATAAAAAAACTCATGATGTGAACTAAAACAATTCGTGAACAGTATATTTTTCCAAAATTTTATATGCTTCAAATTATTTTATTTTTTATTCATTTTCACACTCTTTGGCCCAATTTGGTGCAATGGAAATGGGTGAAAAAGAAAAGAAAGGTAAGGTTCGGTTGGATTGATGAAATTGGAAGAAAAAAATAATAATAATAAAAGAAAGTAAAATTCATGCTTGGTTTCTTAACAAGGAGAGAAAAAAAAATATTTTTTCCTTTTCACTGTAACTAATATTATTATGAGTTGGTTCTTTTCTATCGTCATTTTGTTAAACCAACCCTTAATCTCAGTGGGTGTGAAGCGTATGTAACCTATCTTTTAAAAAAAAAATACAATAAAAAATCTCAAATTGATAAAATAAGTTATATAAAAAATAGGATAAAGTGCAATAAACCCCCTAAATTATTTTTTCTCTCCCAAAAAACCTTCTTGAATTATTATTTTGACAATTAACCCTCTAAACTATTTTTTATTTTTTTTTGCAAAATACCCCCCCAAGCTGCTACTGTTCCGGTCATGTGATCGACCTATTTTTTAAAAAAGACAATTTTGCCCTTCATGACATTTAGGGCATACCCATATATAATGGGTTAACCCATACCCGTAGGATTTACCCGTTTTTAATTGGTATCCTACCATCAACCTTCGTTCAATATGGTAACCCTAACAATTCTCTTACTCTACAATTCTTTCTGTCACCACCATTCAAACAAAATCAAAACCCTAATTTCAATAGAAAAAATCAAGAATCTAATTCGATAGTTTCGTGTAATATGCGAAAAGCCAAAACCCTAACTTCTTTATTTCAATACAAACTCCATGAAACAAACAATCAAATTTATCAACAAAAAAATAAAAATAAAAAACCAATGGTTGAATTAACTATTAGAATTGGAACAATTTAATGTGGAGAAGAATCGAATGGCTGCGGAAGGAGTAGAATTTTCACTTCCAGCAGGACCTTTAAGCCAATCACAGTTGAAGATCAGAAAATAGATTGGATCTGACTGTCGGCTTCATCTTCGTCCTCTTAATCGTTCTTGTTCATTTTGGGTTCAATAATTTGGGGCTCCGAACAGAAATTTCACCTCTTCACCTTGTTCACTGATCATTGTTGTCTTCTTCAATTTCTATCGTTGCCGGAGTTGGATAGATCAGGGGGGTTTACTGTGATTGGTCGGCAATATCTTTGGCTGCGGGAGAACAAGCTCGTAAGAGAGCCTAAAGAGAGAAAGAGTTATGCGTAAGGCCGTGTTTGGCCCTAAAATATGTAGTGCAATCTAATTAGGCCGTGTTTGGCGCTAATGTAAAGTGGGTTATTATTTTTTTTTTTTAAGTGTTAAGTGGGTTATTGCGATAAGGTGATGTGCTGTCACAATACTATTGGCTATTTAGATTGCATTTGCCACGTCAACAACATCAGAACTAAAACAATAAAACGACAGAGTTTCACGTAATTTCGTAATCAAACATTTCCGGTGGTCTCTAATGATAGCAATTTTTGGTTTTGTCCTTGAACTATTTTTGATAGTTTGGAGGTAATTCATGATTAAGGGGGGTTTCATGCAATTATATAATAGATCAGGGATTTTTTTTACACTTTACCCTAAAAAGTATAAAGTGTATCTTTTCCAAACGACTTTTAACTTATTATAATCGTTGGGTCCACCCGCCAAAACTAATTTTCTTCAACATCTGATCTTTGTCTTGACGACGACTTTGAATGCAAACCCATTGCTTCCCCCAAATTCACTTCTCTGAATTATTACAAACCCTTAATCTGAGTGTGCGTTGTGTAATTTTTTGAATTGTTATGGGTTTCTTGTTGGGACCCACAATTCCCGTCGACTGGGAGTCGGAGTACTTCCCTCACTACCAAGATTTTGTGGTCCTTCCCTTCTTCATTCTGTTCATCCCATCAATTCGGTTCATACTTGACAGATTTGTCTTCGAGGTATCACGAACTGCACTTTTAGTGTGTGTGTTGTTACACTTTATTTTTAATTTTGATAGGTGGCTTTGACGTATTGCTTAACTACTGTGATAGGGCAGTACACTAGTTATTGTTCAACTTAGGAATGTATTATTCATCTATAAGTTTTGATCTCAATGTGTTTAAAAGTTGTACTCAATTTTCTGTTCTTTTCAAGCTTATTTCATTAATAAATTTTATAATGTTCTTTTTTGTGGTGAATTATAATTAGGTTTTGCTTCCTGTTCAGTGTATGATGTTATTTTCACTTGAATTGTGCTGTCTTTAGTTTTCTCTTCAAATTGTTAAGCTTAGTTTGAATTGGTAGATCATGCTTGTTGCAGAAATTAGCTAGAAGACTAATTTTGGGGAAGGGACATGCTCTGATGAATCTTGAGACACGTGTTCAGAGGAAGAAACTCAATAAATTCAAAGAATCAGCTTGGAAATGCATTTTTTATCTTTCTTCAGAACTTTTTGCTCTTTCTGTTACCATTGGTGAACCCTGGTTCACTGATACCAAATACTTTTGGGTGGGGCCTGAAGATCAGGTTTGGCCTGATCAGAAAATGAAGTAAGCTTCCTTAGCCCATTCTGCTGAACATGAAATTCAAGTAGTACAATTGTTGCTTCTGAACTTGATCTTCTTTTTCTTCATTTTTTTATTTTTTATTATTTTGATGAAAAAAAAAAAAAACTTAATATTTCATGGACCATAAAGTTGTAATTTTTGATACATATGTACAATAACTTGAATGGATTGTAACTGTGTGCTGATGGATTCTACACACTGCATGTTTCTTTGATACTCAGATTGAAATTGAAGGGATATTACATGTATGCTGCTGGATTCTATATATACTCCATCTTCGCTTTGGTTTTTTGGGAAACAAGGCGTTCCGACTTTGTGGTGTCAATGGGTCATCATGTAGCGACTGTCATTCTCCTCGTGTTTTCTTACATATTCAGGTATATGTTGAAGGGACATGCTGGTACCTTGTTTTCCTCTTCTATGCATTAGTGATGACTTGTGCAAAATCACAATGTGTATATATATTTTTAATTGATTAACATAATTGAAAAGAATACATCATTCTTGGTCTTGGTACATGTGTAGAGTTTTGATTTTTGATTTTTATTTTTAAGCTTCGGTTCAATATGATGATCCGGTGATGCCTGTATTCCGAATTTAACAATTTGCTTCTTCCTCTTGCAGATTTGCTCGAGTTGGTTCGGTTATTTTAACCATCCATGAAGGATGTGATGTCTTTGTTGAATTAGGGAAGATGTCCAAATACAGTGGCTTTGAAATGATGGCTAGCTTTTCTTTTGCTGCTTTTGTATTGTCTTGGCTTACACTTCGTTTGATCTATTATCCATTCTGGATATTGTGGAGTACAAGGTCGGTTAAATTTGCATTTTGCAGCATCATAGAAATTTGGTTCTTCTTGTGATTTCCTTCATTTGCAATACCTATGCGTCATAGTGGCACAACCAAAATAAAATTTTTGAATGAAATGCATAACATTTGGAGAAATGGTGGCTGCTAACATTCTCGAATAATTTATTTATTATATCTATATTGGAATGAAAAGAGTGGGATACATAGGAGTTGCAGATTTGGAAAAGCCAAAATAGCATTTACAGAGGAACCAGTTTTGGAGCCCGTATCCTAGTGAGTTAGGTTTCTAGATCATTGCACTTGCAGTAAACATCATTGAATTATTAGGTCATTTTGTCAAGTGTCTAAATACCAATATAATCAACAGCCACAAACACATGCGAGTGTTAGATATCGAAGGAAACCTTTTTCTCAAGACTTGTTTGATGGCCTTGTTCATTCCACAGTTAATAGGACATAGAGAAAGAACTATCAACAATATACTTGTGGTTTTATTTATACCCAATTGCAGACTTCACCATGTTTCAATTTCTCATTGTGACCTTCAGATGCAATGAACTTCTTAAGATACTTTTAATTTTCATGCAATTTGATATAGTTTTCACTCTCTGGAAAATATTAACTGGATGCCTAAATTAAGGCTTTAATCTATCTCTCTCTCTAATTTGAGCTACATGGAAACCCCCTCCCCCAGGGTGTTAAGAGGCAGGACAAAACTTATGACCCCGACATCATGATTCTTTGTAGATGAAAATGTAATGTCATTGTGGTATTCTTGCAACAGCTTGGCCAAAAAATGATATATATATATATATAATTTATTATTTTGTCTATCTTATCAAAACCTAAAACCAATAAAGGAAATTTAACTTCAAAATTGTTGATTCAATTTCTGAGATGATATGCATATTATTGAATACCATGTTCAATTCATTTCTCTTTTGGTGTTCCTTTTTTCTGCTGTGGTAATCTACGCACTCTCAATTTCTCTCCAATGGATGTATCTTTGACGGTTGTTCTGATACCATGTCCCTACTGTCTGTAAAACCTCTGTTTTTTTTTTTTTTTTTTGGTGACTATAATACCTCTCTCTCTCTCTCTATATATATATATATGCTGCAGCTATGAAGTTCTTTTGACACTGGACATGGATAAGCACATGGTGGATGGAACAATATACTATTATTTGTTTAATACTTTTCTATTCAGCTTGCTCGTTATTCACATTTATTGGTGGCGGTTGATGTTCTCAATGCTCATAGAACAAATCCGAGCTAGAGGCCAGATTGGTGATGATGTGCGATCTGGTAAGGAGCACAAATTCCATAATTGGTGTCATAATTTGCATAAATGCACATGCACTGCCATGAACATTTATAAAAAACCAATAACTGGACATAACATTTGTCGAGGAATAAGGTTAGTGATACAATGCCAAGTCCCCATCCAGTTAGACTTTGATGCAATCCTCAAAGTGTGATTATGGTATCCTGTCATTCCGATCTGCACATGTTTCCAAGTATTGATTATTGACCAATATATGTATATATTAAGATAAGAAATTGTACCAAAGGCAAAGCTAACTTTGTGCAAGTTGAATAAGCTTTCATAGCTTTGTCCTAAGTTAGGACTCTACTTTCCTAGAAGTGTGCTACCATGTAGTTCACTATCTAGTCAAAGCCACCACTTGGTGCAACTTATTCCTACTGTTGAGAGCAGACATGAGCCTTTATTTTCGCGTTGTTGGTGCAGGTTGTGCTAATAGACATGATTTCGGTTGTTAAGTTAATTCAAACAGAATCAATATGAAGTGGCGGTCTTCTTCAGTATTGTGATTTTAAATGACTTTGCTTTTGTGTGTAGATTCTGAAAGTGACGATGAACACATTGATTGACAACAAAACGAAGAATGAAGATGCAGCATCCAAGCATTTTTAAGATTAGTAGGAGTTGAATCATTATTCTGGTATGAATGATTATGTTGTTTCAGCTTCAGTATTGTGATTTTAAATGACTTTGCTTTGGTGTGTAGATTCTGAAAGTGACGATGAACACATTGATTGACAACAAAACGAAGAATGAAGATGCAGCATCCAAGCATTTTTAAGATTAGTAGGAGTTGAATCATTATTCTGGTATGAATGATTATGTTGTTTCAGTTCTTCTGAAAGATTCCACTCAGAGAAGATCTATGCTATATTGTTCCGCTCCCTGTGCAGATGGACATTGACAATGGCATGCACTTATGTATGTCCACACTTCAATCTCCCTGTGTAAGCTATAAGTTTTTGTTAAAAGTACTCGTAAGAAGTTTATAATATACCAATGCTTATAAGAACTTCGCTGTTGAAGGGTATATAATCAAAATGTGAAACAGACATGTTTAGCAGATTGGTAGTAACTGTAGAGGGATTTATCGATGGTCTGTGTTTTAGCTGACACAATGCACCACTAATAATTTCTCATCACATCCCATATATCATTATACATTAGTTGTAAAAACCAGGGTCATTGTTTCAGATTTTCAATTGTCAATCTTTTTATGATGTTAACTCCATGGGCTAGCTGCTGTTTTCTCACTGCAGGAGAATCTCAAATGCAGAAAAACACCATACTGGAAACTTTACAATCCCGGATTTTCATTTGTCAATCTTTTTAAGATGTTTATTTCATGGCTTACTGTTTGGTGATTTATATTAAGTCCATGCATGTTCAAGTGAGGGAGTGTGATGGAGAGAATTAAGTGATGCAACTTCTAAATACCCACAAGGTCTCTTAAAATTATTCTCAAGAAATCTGAAATTTAAAAGAGAGGTTTCTGTAAAGAGCAGATTTCAAAAGTGCGAACAAAATAAATTTTCAAATTCGTTTAACAAGCCCTTAATCAGCAAGGAACTGTAGCTCTTGTTGGGCTATTGAAGCCGAAAGGACAAGTAGTAGTAGTTTCAGGCACTGTAACACCTTTTTAACCACAGTAAAGCATTTGTATGTGGCTAATTACAGGCAAAAGTGCATGAGTACATCTGACTTATTACCTATATAAAAAAAAAAAAATTGAAGTTGAGATTTTGTTAATGATAAAACTTCTATGTTAAATAAATATATATTGAGTGACCAACTTATCTCATACACATGAAACCGGTTTACCATAGAGACATCAATAACATGAACAAGGTGACATTTAGTTTTTGACCAAGACAGCTCTTAAACAATCACAATGAAACTCATTTCAACTTCCAAGTAAAACAATGAACTGAGTTCATAATACTAAGAAACTATAATGTGAGAGATTACACCCTTTGCTTTCATGGAAAGCCACAAGGGCAAAATCATCACGAGTATGAGCGTCACAAGATGAATTCTCTCGAAGGATCCATTAGACCACTTGATCTGGTTCTTGAGTGTATTCAGAGGTATCAGGTCATGTGCAGAACCAAAAATTGCTAATACCTTCTTATAATTATATTCATGACAAAGTGAAGAATGCACAGTGACTGAGACTAATATACCCAACATGCTGAAATTTGGAGATCTGAATGGTACACCAGTGAATTGATTCAACATTTTTTCAGTGAGAAAACTTTGAGATCAATTTGTCAACATGAATGATGATATCATCCATGCGTGGTCGAACGGCAGCTTGGGGCTGGAGCATCCATGTCACAAACTGGTGAAGAGCTTCTGGATATGGAGGATTAGGGCCAGCAGGCCACTTTATTTGTGCATTTACAATGGCCAACTGAAGGCTTCCTCCAGATTCTCCAAGTGCATACTCAAATGGAGATGCACCACCATACCTGCAAGACATTCATAGCGAAGCAGTGAGTAATTTGAAAAAACACCAATACGGTTAGCATCTCACCATCCACTGTGACGGATATGATTCCCCCAATCCCATTTCCCCCTTTTTTTCTTAAAAAGGAGAAAATGAGGGGCAAGCAAACATCACATAGAAACAAAATCATTTGATCTTATTTAATGTAGAGCTAAACTGCACAAATCCACATATCCATTCACTGTAGAAGAGAACGAAGTACATATGCATACAGACACAAAAAAGATTTATTAAGATGACTAGATTGAAACAATATTAGCTTAGAACTCGCATCTTAGATTATATTTTTCATAAGTACCTTGATACAAATATTATGTGAAGCAAGACAGAATAATTTCATTTCCATGGGCACAGCATCTTACCACATTAAGATTTCTACTATTACCACCCCCAAAAAAACATAAAAAGAATTGCCCTATAAAAGATGCATCGACAATTTCCAATGATTTTACAAGCTTTAGCATCCATAACACGCCCATACAAACATATGTGCAATTATGATAATTTTGCATTCTAATTCAAGTGAGGGCATCGCATATGGCTCCGGGACACCTCCTGAAAATCTGGACACATAGATACAGCACACGCATGTTTGTGAAGTAATGAACAACATAGTTGGCTCCACTTCCATTTGAAAAATAAAAGGGAAACACAAGACTATTTACTCCTGTTTGATATCATAAAAAAAATGAAGGTTAAAGTTTTTTTTCCCAGTGTCAGGAAAGCGGTACAACATGGATGGACATGAGTAAAAAGCATTTTCGGATGAATACTGAGCTGCTGAACCACATAGCATTTCTTAATGCTTTATTTATAACAACCAGTAAATGTGTTAGCATAAGCTTTTCCCAACACCCACTAAACCTTTAAAGTAGGCTACCAAAACTGCCCCCCACTTTGATGAACCAAAATGGCTGTTATGAACTTATTTTCGGTGCAATTTGGTAAATTAAAGCTCAAACATTTTGCAGGTTCTTGCTTCTAAACAGCACTCATGATAAAGAGGTACTCTCGGTCTAACCCTTAACTTTGAAGGATCAAATTATTTTGGCGGGTAACCTCCTTGAAGCCAAACACCAACACTTTTGCATCACATGCCATTCAAGACATTATTTTGTGCAAGAGAAAAGTGTCCATCGTAGGTTTTGGTCACATTATGTTTTATGTGCATCACTCTATTGGGGATGTGTGTTAATAGTTTTTATGTAAAAAGTGTGGATGTTAGGCTTCATTCACACTATCCTGGAGCGTTACTATTCATGCTACTGTAGTGAGTTACGGTTCACATTGCTATAGTAGTTACCCGGTTTGGTTATCATTGTCTTTTAGGCTTCTTCAGTTTAGATTAATTTGGGATTGATATTTGCACACGAGTAGGATTTATCATTATTATGTCTAAAGTATATAAAATGTATTGTAAACATCAATTTTTGGAGAGTGAATATTAGATTGAGAAGTCACACCCTTAATTCTTTTTTGAGATTGCAATTGCTTTCATTTTTCTTCTTTGTGTCTCCTTTACTTATTCTTCTTATCTCCCTTCTTTTTCTTTCTTCAACTTCCTTCTCTTGATTTCAGGCAGTCCTAAGTTTGACTTGGAAACACACTTTAGAACACTAAAACAAGCCTCATACACCCTGGTTTCTTTCCAAAATCCTATTTCATTATGGTATCAGAATTTTGAATTGTCCCGCATGAAGGGCCATTTGTCTCTGAGAAGAAAGGACATACATCCATAAACAAGTAGGAAAATGATTGCATTGTCGATTGGTTTCAAAACCCGACTGAGGTGTTAAAATTGATTGAAACAGTATAAGAGAAGAGAGTCTATCTTGTTAATTATTGTGTAAGAGTCCTTGTTGGACACTATTTATTGGAGTCGCCAAAAAACCGATTCAGGCATTGTAACATTACTCAAACAAATACATATACTCTATCCAAAATTATTAATCCATTTTAAAAATTCCAATTCTTTAAGAAGACAAGTGTTAATGCATTAACACCTTTACATGAATAGATTCATCATTCATGTATAGCAACAATGTTGCACCTTCCTACCATAAAGGAATGTGTTACTATAGCCCACCATTAAATATAATTCATATAAAATATCAAGCTTATACAATTCAATCAGAATTGCATATACGAAACCACCTTCTATAAAATATATTTACATATATAGATATATGTATGTGTGTGTGTAATTAATGCGTTCTCAAGCTAAACTTGTGTATAGACATGATCACACTATAGCAGATGACTTTCCATATAATCCCTTTTCCAGCTAATTCCATATCACAGCCCATGATAGAGTACACACGTTAACATCGGATTAAAAGAAATGTAAGTGTATGGATCAGATAGCTAACTATGTCTGATTGAGTTAATTTTTGGAGTTGACATGCATGGTAAGCTATCTTAACATAGCCATGGGATTGGTGAGTAAGCTGATCCTACCTAATATATCTAAACATACGTAAATATATACATAAAAACAAAGATAAACATGCATATATAAAATACATATGTCAATAAGGTGAGTTGAGTATATATCTGTATTCTTGCATGTAGTGATAAATGCATGCATGTATGCATGAGTTAAGTATACATGCATGCATGTAGTGATGTGATTATCCTATGAATTGCTAGCTGCAAACCAATGAAACACTCCATCAGTCTGAAGCACAATCATTTTTAGGTATCAGAACCTCCATTCTCGTTTGGTGGGAATAATTTATCAAGTTATGATTGTCAAGACACAAAATGATCAGAAAACTTCTGGCTAATGTAGCAGTTGTAGAAGTGCAAGTTGTTGGTAACAAACCAGACCTGGAAATTTTCCGCAATGAAATCTAGTACTGCTATACAATCCTTAATCAAGTCAAACAATTCACATGGTTGCCCTCCATCATGCAAAAGGGGCTCCAAACATATGCTCTCTATTATGGCTACTGAGTGAATTTAAATGTATAAAAAACAAAACCAATAGGAGCGCAAGGGCAGATATCACTTCAATCACATAACTGAGTGTTAGTTTAGCGAACTAGATGAGACAAAAAGTGCAATCACATAGCTGCTCATAGATTCAGGAATAAATTATTCACATGAAAGAGAAGTAGAGAGAGGCCTCACATTATTGCAAATAAAGTGCATCCCAATGACCAGACATCAGTTCTTTCATCAATATCTGCATGGCTTGGGCAATCCCACAACTCAGGAGCTCTGAAAGGTGCTGAACAGTGCTCAGATGCCCATTCCTACATAACCAACATCAGGAGAACCATGTGTATATTAGAAAATGCAATGGGTTTATTTGAGAAGTAAGTTGATCGGTGTTCAGATAAAACCAAAACAACAAAGTTAAGTGTCCGAAGAATTACTGATATAATAAAAAAAATTCTAAATAATAAAACAAAATTTTTAAATAATTTGAAAGCAAAAATATAGAACCAACTTTAATTGACTTATAAGTAGGGGTGGCAAATGGCAATATTTGACACGACACGCTAACACGACACGAAATAAGAGGGTCTGGGTTTGGGCTAATTGTGTTCATGTCGTAATCGTGTCAACATGGATTGACCCGCTAACTAAACGTGTCGTGTTCGTGTTTGACCCTATAAACACAATTATGACACGATTAACCCGATTAACTAAACGTGTCAGATAAATGTATCATGTTCGTGTAAAAAATGACCCATTTAGCTAAACGTGTAGAATAAACATGTCGTGTTCGTGTCAAAAATGACTTAAACGTGTCTTTTCGCATAGTGTCAAGTCTTGACCCATTTATTAAACAGGTTACGCGTATCGTGCCATGTTACACGTGTAATAATTGTGTCGTGTTCGTGTCAAGGGTCTTAGACCTGATTAATAATCGTGTCATGTTCGTGTTGACCCTAATCGTGTTCGTGTCGCCAACACGGATTGCCACCCTACTTATAAGGGGTTTAAGATACAATATATACTAGAAAGAAAGTAATGCAGCTTTATGTTTTGTTACTTTTGATTTTATTTTATCTTTGAAGAAATAGAATCTTAATTTGATGGAACTTTCAAGTTGCAACAGTACAGACAAGGAACAAATGAGGATCTTATATCCTGTCAAAATCATGCAATAAGAAAATCATACAAAAGAAAGCACCTATTCTTGTAAAATAGTGGTTAAATCATCCACAAAAATTTATCAGCGGACACAGGAATCAATATAATTATGAACTGAATATAAGCTAAAAGCCACCTCCGACCAAATAATTTCCCTTATGTCCTTTAGACATCTCCTTCGTGAAGCTCATATGTCTGCAACTCCTTACTTTCCAATGCCCAGTATATTATCTTTCATTGGATTTTACCGTAAATGTGAACCATGAAAACTTCCTTCTCTTGCCATACACCTATTGACTCAATAATTGGTTTGCTGCACTTAATCAACCCAAATTAATCTTGTTGCCTCATCTTATTCTTATCCAGTAGTTTTGTGGTATGTCCTCCAATATTATGCAATCACAAGTCAGGATAATAAAGACTGAAACTGTTGGAGAAAGGGAACTGATTTTGATTTCTCCAATAATATGCAATAACAAGTCGAGATAACAAATTCTTTTTGGCTTTCATCATAACTTCTATTATATCACTCTTCTTAACTAGTGCATTCATTGGTCTGCGTTGCACGTAGCAAAAACATCATAGATGAGGTTCCATCATCTTGTCTTCGCTTGGTGCCACCTCTGGGTTCTCATGAATACATTTTTATGTATTCTATCATCTCTAGTTCAGCTCATCCACCTCAATATTCTTATTTCCTCTACACAATTTCAAGACATCCTAACGACGTATTCATGTAAAAATAGGTACTTGAATTGACCAATAACTGAGCCACCTGAAGCAGAGGATAGGCCTGGAATTCCAAACCTGATTATGCCAGCTGACCAGAAGTCAATATTGTGCCAAGCACAAGTTCGAAGTTCATAAAAATAAAATCATACAACCAACTGCCACCCCCATCTTGGTTCAATTTTATTCCTTTTTTTTTTTTTTTTTTTTTTAAAGAGGAGAAGTATGTTGGAACAAATAATATGCCAAAGGATTAACTTAAAATCTAACAAGAAAAAGGAACAGAAAAGGGGGGCAAAGAAAGAAGCAAGATGCAAACATAAAAAATGGAAGGTAGAAAGAAAAACCATGAGCACCTGCAGCTGCAGTGCCTCCGAACGAGAGCGAATTTGCTTTCTTGCAGGACGAGCACTTCCAAAATCCATTAATATTGCAAGAGGTGGCTGTCCTTTTCTACGTGTTATAAGGACATTACCAGGTTTGACATCATTATGTGCATATGGAGGTTCCAAACTGTGCATATGCTTGAGTCCTGCACAAAGCTGCACAACATTTGTTTTTAAATAAATACACTCTTGGTGCGTAAATGCCAATGTAGCACCAAATTAAGAATATCGTATCGTCCAAAACCACTACCTGAATTACAAGAAAAGGGAACAATTTAAGTGCAATCACGGATGACCATATATATATATATATATATATAGGTAAAACTCAACGGCCACCAGCTTAATGTTAAGAAAAATGTGACCTTAATGATGTGAATAAAATAGTGAGTAAACATCTCAGCAAAAGACAATGGGATACTAATACGGACAAATGAACATTCCAGACAAATAATTATATTATAAGCTCAAAATTTTATATATATGCCAAAGAAAAATAAGTCATATCACATATGTAGAACATAATGTTTTTCTGACCTGCCGGAATATTTGAAGTACATCTGAGGTAGAAAAGAACTCCTTCTTAGGTTTCATAACCAGAGCATTGTCCAATAATGTTCCATCCAAATGAACTGGAAATAACAAATATGCTTCATGCTTCCAAGATCCTTCTTGTGTGGGCTAGCCAATGATAAATATTATTTAATAAATAAGCTTTTTCAGTAAGGAGGAAGATAGTACATGATAAGTAAACAAGGCACAATGTCAAAAAGCCTTGCCTCCTAAAACAGTATCAAAATACGATATGCCGTGTCTCAGTCTCTCAGGTTGTCAAAGAAAACAGCAGATTCATGTCAGATATAAACTGGGGAAGATGAAGGATTTTTTCACAGCCAGAAAGGTCTGGAAAAGGCCCTCACAATACAAGATTGGTAAGAAAATCCGAAAATATCAAGGTAAAAGATTGAATGGAATTCCTTATGATGTTCTAGTGGCAGTTTACAACATGGACCAACTTAAGATTTTGGGTAATCAAGTCTTGTGAGACTTAATCAAAGCAATTGAGTTTTTCTGCTTGCAGTCTTTATCAGAAAGCCCTTCCGCTAAAATTAATTAGTACACTTGAAAGAGAGTGTGATAGGAGATCTTCGAGTATTACTGTCTGTCAGTGCTTTAGCTAAAACCATTCTAATCCACTGTTATTGTGTTGGGGGCCTTCAGTTTTGAAGAATTTAAGAAAATTAGCTTTTATTCTGTTAATATTTCCTTCCTCTACACGCCACTATCAAAGTCTCTGATGATATTTCTAACCATCCAAAGGAGAAAAACAATCACCTCCATTTTTAGTGGATAGTTCTCATTGTATCAGAAATGGGATTTTTCCAATAACCATAATGAGAAAATCATTTTTATTTACAGGTATAGTTCATGTGGCAGCTTAAACGCAATTAATTCTATTCAGCAAGCATAACATATTATATCTACAGTGACACATTAAACTATGATCAAAGCCATCCATCCCTGGTATTTTTGCACTTTTACTTACTAAATTCTCTTTTTCTCAAAGGCACTGTAAGAAAACCCATCACTGCAGTCTGAGAATACGCATTGTCCCTCTTGCCAAGTTCATTGTCAAGTGGGATTCAACCCTAACCTCTTGGCCGAAGTGGCAGTGCAACACCATCTCCGTAGAGTGGTAACAACAAACGATAATTTTCAATTATTTGTACAGAGCAACACAACATAAAATGAGTGCAATGATTACCTTGACTGCAATGATAGCATGATCAAGAAGAGGAAGAAGATTGGGATGGCTAAACAAAGATGACACGTGGATCTCCTCCCTCACCAACTCCAACTGCTCATTGCTTTGAATGAGAACTTTCTTCATGGCATATGTTCCATCATCTGCATATAAAACCAATATTAGATTTTCTTGCATCGACCAAATGGCAAAATCATTGACACATACATCATTATAACAAACAAAAACAATACTCTTATGTATGATACAGTCCGAAATTTTCATAATAAAGACAAAAAGAAAAGAAAAAAAAAAAACAGATATTTCAAATCCATCAAACGAGAATCAAATCTTAAAAATAAAAAAATAAAAAAAAAATTCAAACATTTCAAATATATCAATGCCAAAAAGAACAATAAACACACAATCCAATGCGATTCATCAATATATACACAATTCTTGATCCGAGATTGAAAATCACACATAAGAGTAAGTACACTGATTGCACCACCATCAAGATTCAAATTTCATTAAAAATAAAATGTTAAATTATTCAATGAATCAGCCCATTTTCATAATGTAAACGATCTGAACCTGAGGCTTGAGAGGGGTCCTTGAATTTCTTGGCGATCCCACCACCAGAAGCTGAAGATGAGTCGGTGAGGACCTCCTTGACGAGGTAGACATGGGCAAAGCCACCTTCACCAAGCTGCCTCACGACCCTGAATCGGTTTTCGTTGATCCACACATCTGCGCCTCCGTGCACAACGTCGTACAGTGCGTTCAGTCCCGAAAAAGAGCATCCCATCTTCTACCTGGTCTGCTCTTTCCCTCTCTCTCTAGAGCAAGACTTTCTCCCTCTATAACTCAAAACAGATCCCCAATTATATCTCTCTCCCCATCTCTCTCTCCCGTCTCTCACTCTGTGCGATTTCTATTTTTAATTTATTTTTTTATTATTATGTTTTTTTCTTCAGTTTCTCACTACCATTTTTCTCTTGGATCTGTCAGTCGACCACGTGGATTGCTTCTTGCACTTCAATTTTTCATTCTCGCACTCTTGACGAGTGGCAACCATGAATATTTGGGTAAAAATTAGGGATTATTACATATAAATGGGGTTAGAGTTTCATATTTACCAAGAGGCTGAGTCAAAGTCTCATATTTCTTAAAAATGAGGTTGACTAAATTGATGACATGGCACATGAATTATTACTGTTTAAAACATGTGGTGCCTAAAATGCCCTTCTCACTATTCCAGCACATTTACCTTACTGCCCCCGTTTAATTTAGTCACTCAACTTGTTGCCCTAAAATACACAGTCACAAATCCAGCGAAGCAAGCCCAGGCAAACACAGCATCACCGAACATGGAACCCTAACCCTCCCTCATCTCATTCGTGAAGAGCCCTTAAGAGTCCTCTCTCTCTCTCCCCCCATCTCTGTAACAGGATTGAAGCGTAGCCGTTGAGCCCTAACCCTCATTCAAGCCCTCTCTCTTTCCCCCTCTGTAACAGCAAAGCACTTCTCCACGTCTAACCGTCGTTGGTGCACCCTCTCTGTAACCCAGCGAAGCACTTCTCCACTTCTGCCATTCATTTATTGTTGTTCTAGTAATATGGTAAGTACTCTCTCCCTCTTAACACACACACGTTTATATTTTAGATGATTATGGTCCTGATTTAGTGTTATAATATTTTTTTTTTTTTTTTTTTCCAATTGGATGTCTGATTTTCATGGAGGTTATGTTTATATATATTCTCCTCTTATAATTTCTATTATGCAATCATATATATATAATTTCTATTCTGCAATCAAGATTGTTGTTGCTCTGTTTGTTGTATATGTTTGAAATGTGCGTAACAAAATGTTGCTCTCTTGTGCGTGACAAAATTAATTTTTAAAACTCAGTTTTATCCCACCAACAAAGGCAAAATTTTCATAAAGTAGATACTTAATTAATCAAATGTTTTTTTTTTTATTTTTTATTTTTCTTCTTCTTCTTTTGTAATTAGGTTTGCTTGTTTTTGAAGAGTTCATGCTTTCTTTATATGTTGACTGAACTGAAATCCCAAATGTTATCCTACAATCTTTCCACTAGCATGGGTTTTCATACTTAAAATACTCGGAATTTGCTGAAGAAAACATAATTAAACAGGATAAAAAACAAATTTCCATGCATGTCCTTTGTTACCTGCTGAATTTTTTTTTATAGAACATTAATCTGATCTTAAAACTTAAACATTGTACTGTTAATGCCTACCTGTGTATAGTAGAGATTCAATGTCCCTAAATCCAAATAATTCATGTTCTTTAAATTTACTAGGACCATGTGGAAGCAAGTGGCAGTACGTGTGGTGCCTACAGGCTTTTTGTTGGATTTCACTAGTTAGCTAACTAGCTTGTGCCAAGGTAACAAGCTTAAATCCTATCTTCATAAGTCATTTGCTCTGGAGACCTTATGATACAATCAATGAATGTAAACTGTAAAGAGGCATGCATGTGATAGTCTTTGGGTAGGGACACTTGTTATCAAATGTTTGTGAAATCTACATTCCCATTTGCATTTGCTTAGTAAAAGAATTGTTTAAGATTACTAGTATTGGTTCTACAATATTAAATTAAAAACAAGTTTTTCATACATACTATATTTGTTGTGGTTTAGTGGTTGAAATGTAATTAAATATAAAATTTGAGTTTGGTTCAATTAAATGAAAATGCTTTATAATAATTTCATGATTAATATCTTGGGTGTTAAGAATCACTAATAAAGATTTTAGTTCTCAATATAAAACAAAAGGGAAGAAGCTACTCTGTTTGTGCCTTATAGATGAAGTAACAAATCTTCATGGTTATGCTATGATTTGTGCCTTAGCTTACAAGGTTGGAAGTCTTTGGTAAATGTTTTCACTAGGGAAACATAGCATTTTAGAGCATGTCAGTGATGGCCTTGGTGTCTGATAATTACCAACATTTAAATAAATTAGATAAATAATTCTTTTTAGTAGACTGATTGAATATGTTAACATTTTTAAACGATTAAAAAATTTAGTCTAAGATATTGCCATGCAATGACCAGAAATGGAAAAGATTTCTTCACCATCTGTTCATGAAATTTGAATGGTTTTAAACAACAAATTTCTAGATATGCTTACAAGTTCCCCCCGCCCCCCCCCCCCCCCCCCCCCCCAACCGGTGAAGAGTGCAAGCTGCTTTATACCTAAGCCCAAATTCAGTTGAAAATACAAGACACGAACAATAATGGGAAAACTGTTATATGACCTTTACGTCTAAATTGTATTTACGGGAAAAGAAAGAGAGAATGAAAGAAAGAAGTAAATTTCGATCAAAATTCTGTCCAAGACTGATGCTTTGGAAGTTATTTAGTTTCTAACGAGATGAAAAAGAGAAAATATAAAGCAGTAGGTAGTTATCTAAAGGGATAATTACATATAAATGGGGTTAGGGCTCCGTATTTACTCAGAGGCGGAGTCAAAGTTTCATATTTCCCTAAAATGAATTGCTGACGTGGCACATGAATTATTACTGTTCAAGAAATGTTTTGCCAAAAATGTCCTTCTCACTTTTTTTAGTGTTGCCTAAAATGCCCTTTCTCCATAATTTAATATATTGCCCTAATTCGTTCGGTAAATACGATCTTCTTTGGCCCTAAAAATAAAATTCTCTCATTCGCTGCTCTCTCTCATCGCTGCTCTCTCTCTCTCTCTTTCTCCACGACTCTTTCTAAGCCGGTCCCTCCACCCTCTCTCTCTAGCTTTATCGCTGTAGGAATTGAGAAACCCAGCTCAATTTTCAGTCCAGCTACAATGGGCTCAGAAGAGGGATCAAGGGTTCTCGGTGAGCTTCAAACCATACATTTGTCAGTGCATTTTCATTGTTTCGGTTGAATTTTTCTTGTTTTCTTTTTTCAGCTGTAAATTTGGATTGAGTTATGATGATTTGGTGTTTCTTAAGCTTTTTTGTTGTAATGGTTCTTGTTTTTGTGTTTTCTTCTTATTGTAGGCTATTGGGTTTTCTAAAATTAGGGTTTTCTTCCTATTGTAGGCTATTGGGTTTTGTAAAATTAGGGTTTTCTTCCTATTGTAGGCTATTGGGTTTTCTAAAAATAAATATAGAAACTACACAACAGGAGCCAGCTGCAAATCCTTTTTTTTTTTCACTCAATTTAATAGGAAAAATGTAGAGAGCGTGATTTTACATCATGGATCGCTGGCACTTATAAAATGTTTTACATAGCACTTGAAAAACAAGAGTTCAAATTTGAGGAGTTGTCACTTAAGAAGCAAGGAATTACTCTTATCGTGCACTATGGTTGGTGTCTCTCAAATTCGTTGTGAATCAGTTGCTCTGTTTCCAATTTATTTTAATTTTAATTTTTTTTTTAAAAGAAATTGTCACTAAAATTTTCTTACTTCATCATCAATCAATTGCACAGAGCACCATCACATCAATCACTACAGACTCAACTGATTGATTTAACTGTCTAACAAGCTATTGGTTGTTTGTGAATAGGGGAGTAATGGTGAGGAGCCAATGAAGCTGAAGCTATATTCTTCCTGGGGGAGCTCTTGCTCTTGCCGTGTTCGTATCGCTCTCAACTTCAAAGGTCTCTCTCACTCTACTACTTTCGCTCTCTAAATTTTGATCAGTCAATTTCTTCTGCCGGTTTCACTTTCTAAAACCCTGATTTTTTATTTGATTTTAGTTAAAAAAAATTTTTTTTTGTTAATTATTGACCATTAGTTATCGCCTCTTTCAACATAGATCTCAAATATGAGTACAAAGCAGTTGATGTCATGAAATGAGAACATTTAGTCCTGGTGAGAACATACATGGTGTCTCAAGAAATTTCTTGTAGTATTTAGGCTTATTTATATGATGATAAAGTATGATATTTATAATAATTAACATATTGGGTGTCTGGCATTAATGTTACACTATGGACATTCAAACTTCAGAATTCATTTTTTGTTCACACATTATGATCAGTAACTTTTGTTGGTGGTGGATAATTTATCAATGAAAGTTACTTTCAGCTGGAAATAGACATCAATTTAAAGGAGAAGTCACCCTCTCTTGAAAAGAGTCATAAGCTCTCTTCACTGGCTATTGGATTGAGAAAAATATCGTAATTTGTGAATGTAAAAACACAGTCTGAGAATCTTATATCAGTCCTATCCATAAAGAGAATTCATGGCTCTTGTCAACTGGAGATCTTTGGATAGCTTTACTATTAATTTAAAAGGTTTATTTGGAAATGCAGAAATGTAACACTAATTTCATAAGTTAGTGTTTGTCTTAACTTTTTGATCCATTTCATGCATCTAATAAGTGAAAACAAAATAGAAACTTGATTATTATCTATTGCTTGTAATATTATATATATATTCAGTTTGGCTTTAAAAAATAGAGTCTTGAACGGTCGTTGCAATTTAATCATTGGCCTAAAAGTTTTTGGGACTCTAGCTCCATATTCTTTTTTGGTAGTCTTTATATATCTTGTTAATGTGTTATCTGTTTTTTGAGTATAGAATATTTAAATATCTTGTCAATATCTTGCTATTGTAGGCTATTGGGTTTTCTAAAAAGAAAGATAGAAACTATTAGATATAAGGGGACTACACAAAAGGAGCCGGCTGCAACTCCTTTTTTTTTTCACTCAATTTAATAGGAAAAATGTAGAGAGCGTGATTTTACGGGTTGGATCGCTGGCACTTATAAAATGTTTTACATTGCAATTGAAAAACAAGAGTTAAAATTTGAGGAGTAGTCACTTAAGAAGCAAGGAATTACTCTTATCGTGCTCGTATCATACTCTTTAAATACTAACCAATATGTGTTCCATACTTTTTAAACTTAGTGCTTTCTAGACAGTGGCTTTAAATTGAATGTACCCACTAAATGGTTGATTTGCTAAAATAAGCTATATCCTATTATGCACTAAAATAATTGGATTGGTTATGTACTTTCTGCTAC